ACTGTGTTTTGAAAAACCCCGAATCATGCAACCACAGCATTTCACATTGATCCTCAAACACTATGATTAATTTGTATTTTTGTTTTTGAACTAGTATCACCCCCAAATAATTTGCAATTTGTATTTTTTTTTTATCTCCATGGTTACACCCAATATCTCAAAATTAAACATGATAATGAGACAAGGGCTAGACAAACGATATAAATAGATAATTTATTGAACACAAAATTTAGTATGAAGAAAAACATACATAAATCAATGTCCAAGAAAACAGTTCAAAACAAACAAAAGCTTAGAGTTAAAATAAATGTACCGGGTAATCAAACAATTGACAGTGAAGCTATCTCTAAAGCTCAGCAAGCACTTAAATTTCCCAGTAGTTGATAACTTGAAAAGAACGTCATTATAAATTCAGGTTTAGTGTGAGCTAGAACAATCTGATTATTTTAATAAAACATGAATTTCATCACCGATAGCCTGTTCATCACATTATGGAAATACGAACCACAGGAAGAACTACTTTGTTTCCTTTGTAGTATGATAATTGCCACAGGCGCAAATGTATATATTGTTGCATTAAAAATTAAGCCGAGTTTGACCATTTCTGGAGGCGATCAGGTGACTTCTCTGAAGATTTAGTGTCATGACAACCCCTTGTGACCAGTGCATTACCAACACTGGAACTCAACACCCAATAAAAAACATATGACATCTTCATTCATAGATGGATAATGTCTCCCAAGGAAACACAATCTCAACATCGAGAAAAGTTTCTTGCTATTGAGCATGCCATAAACAAAATTAATAAAAACTGAAGTTGAAAAATGTCATCAAACTAAAAATAATTAAATAAAGAAAAAAGAACTAAGAACCATAGAAAAACTATGACGTTACCGGTATATGTAAACAAAGATTCACGGTAAATTCAAATTTCACCCACCAGCGACGATTTGACCACAATGAAGTACTCTGTCGTTACTTCCATACTAAGTAAAAATTATGTTTCTCAATTAATTTTATTGTACATTTATCATCCAATAAATGAAACTTACCAAAAACGCTTGTAGCAGCAATACATTGGACTACTTCCAGTCGACTAAATGTTAGCTAGCGATCATGCTAGATTGCGCATGATATTATTTTTAATATGGCCATCTTGAAAAAAAATATGAGCCACACATCTCTTGTTTACGGCAATAAACATCAAACATGACTTGGATTAGTCGACACAGGGAGCAAACAAATTAATCTGGCTGAAACAAAGTCGTTCATAATACTTTAACATTTGTGAACCAATGTAGATAATGATAGGATAGTTACCAAGTTCAGCTCTACTTGCTGCATTACTGACACCTAAAATCTATTTGTCTAGTTTAATGTAAAGTTGTTCAAAGCGATATATATTAATAAATGTATATATAATATATAAGGGCTTATATAATAGCAGTTTATTGATTTACTAAAAATAGAATTGACGTAACCATATTTGAGTTGAGTGGGTTTCAAGATGGTGTCACTCACAATTGTTTTTCGTACCGATCAAAATGTCTCGAAACACCATTCCCCAGTGTGTCTTACCCAATTGCCAGCTGAAAACTTTCACAAACAAAATCAATTCGGAAAAGTTTGGCAGCCAATGTGTTAATAATTATTTGTCTGGTTGCTTGAAGTGATTTACCAAGTGGACTTGATAAGAAATAACCTTTAGTTTAAATATGTTTCCACTTCTCAACAGAATCATTGCTTGCTGATATCCAAAAGAAAGTCAATGAAGCCTTTGATATATTTGACCATGAATCTAACAAAACAGTAGACGTGAGGTAAGTCACTTGAAATCAAAAGTTTGCAGTGATCAACCATTCACACTCAGTAGCTAAAGCGAGAGGGTCGTCACCTGTGCACGTGTAGGAATTGAGTCGAAAGCGACGATAACAACACAGCTAAAAACGCAAAGGCTCATGTTTGTGAACAATGACACGCTATGGTCATCTGACGCATGCGCAGGTGACGACACCCCCCCCCACACACACACACACTTTAATTACTAGGTATATAATAGTACCTTGTTAGACATTTTTTTTTCCTGATCTTTTCCAATAATGTGAATATTAGTAATATTATTTGTTCTGAGTAATTTTGTATGTATTAACCCATTAGCACCAAAGTTAACTTTCTGTCACCTTTCACAAGAGTATTTCATAGAATATTACTTATATTTAGTGGATGTCTCTTTTTATTCAAACAGAGAAGTGGGGACAATTATCAGGTCACTGGGATGTTGTCCAACAGAAGGAGAGCTGCACGATTTGTTGGCAGAAATGGAAGAAGAAGAGCCCACTGGTTATATAAGATATGATAGATTTCTACCCATTATGACAAATGTGCTCATGGAGAGGAAGTGAGTCCAAGTTTGTAATGTTTACAGTAAACATGGCTTAACAGCAGGACTGGAAATTGGCAAACACCGTGGTAGTGATTACTCAGATGCCCCTGCTGAATGCAGTGATGCCCTTCAAAACTATCAGTTTCAGGGTTGTCAGAAGCATTTTTAGAAATTGGATTCCTTTTGAATACTAAAGTCCAAGGCTGTAATAGCATCTGTGATTATACCACTAGAATAGAATTAGTCCTGGTAATGGTACTGCTTGGATTGATTTAAAACGATTCCTGTCTCCTGATGTCAAGCTAAGAAAAGAAAATTGTTGTGGGATCATTACATTGTGTATAATAATAAAGTCAGATAAAGCACCGTACTTCCCCAAGCATAAGCCCCTCCCCAAGTACAAGCCCACCCCTCTGTTTTTAGACATTTAACGAGTTGAGAGCATCCCTGAGTATAGGCCCAGGGTGTTTTTTCGTGCGTCAATGACATTTATTAAAATATGCATGTGAAAAGTGTATTTCATTGCATAATAATCATGATTAGTACGGTAGTTTGGTTCCTGCTTTTATGAGAAAATTCGCATATATGTAGTTTGGGCTTTGTATATTGTGTTTGCACTGCGGTGCTATGTATACACATAATGCCTCGCAACACCAATTCTTGGTGCATCTATTTTCATAGGATTACATTTACACTATTTGGGTATGTTTAAATCCACCGATTGGCCAGTGAAGAGTGTATATTTATAAAAATAAAACTCAGTAAAGAATTAATGTATTTGTAGTATATACATTAAGACATAGAGTTTTAGTAAGTATACTGACCAAAAAGTTATTTTTGAGATCTTTAAATAACAAACCAATGATCATGTAAATTGTTCTCTTCTAAACAAATCTGCCATTGATAAAATCAACTTTGAATCATATGATGCATGAAATTAGAGAAAATTTTATAAAAATAACACTTGAGAGGGAACATTCATAGTCCAATCTTTTCTCATGATTGATTGTGGAGTAAATAGATTCAGTTTGAAAACTTAATGACAGGGCACACATGATGGAGATTATTCTGTGCCTCTGGTGTACTTCACACATTGTCATGTACCGTAGGTGCCAAACACCTTCTGTGTAATTAACATACCTTGATTGACATTCATCCATTGTCTATTGTGTTTGTGGGTAGCATTTTATGATGCTGTTTCATTTCACGTATACCGGTACTCATTATAATGTACTGACTAGGTTTACATTTATAAAACTAAAAAAATATTGCAATCATTACCTCAGCTTAGCATAGTCAAGTGTCATTCACATGCTAATGTTAAACTGACTGTAATGAAACCATATCATGTAAGGACTTGTACAATATAAATAGGTTTAAATGTTCTTGCTTTCATTCTAGATTTAAACCGTCTCCTGAAGATCAAATATTAAAAGCATTTGAAGTGTTAGATTCAGAAAAAAAAGGCCATCTCACAATAGAGGAAATTACAAAGTACATGACGGAGGAAGGTTAGTAGTAAAACTCCCTGAATTGTGCGAACTACTAAATGAGATAAAAAATGTGAAATTTGAAAATATTTAATTTATTTACATACTGTATTTTTGCTCAATTGAGAGGTTTATTCAGCTACAGGTAACTGATTTTGACAATAGACTACTACATGTAGTTGCATCTTAAATTAGCAAAACGACATGTTTTGTAGAAGCTATCATTCTTCTGTGTGTGTGAGAGAGCAATAGGAAACAACTATAAAATGACTAATTTTCACTGGGTTTAAATTTCACCGATTTACCATTTCAGGCATATTCAGTAGGTTTTAAATTCATGGTTTCGTCATTTAGATAATGTGTTCTATGCTACATTTTACATATTCACTGGGTTTTAGTTTAGCGCATTTTCCAGTCACCGAAATAAGCTAAATTAAAACCCAGTGAATAATTACCCCCTTTACAGTATTGTGTTTACTCTAAACTAAAAAATTATTACATGCAGATTCAGTTTGTGTGTTTTTGCTGTTATTTCAGCTATGCTATCAATAAAACAAGACGTAGCGATTACGGCCAATAAAATCTATTTTTATATGATAATAATATAGGCACAGGGATCAAGGCTTATTGTTAGTACACAATAATTTGTTATTTGCAGTCACTGCACTGCAGCCTTATAACAACATCATTGAATCTTGTTTTACAGGTGAACCATTCACACAAGAGGAGCTAGAAGAAATGTCCTCAGCTGCTGTAGATCCAGACAAAGGTGTTATTCTCTACAGAGACTATGCATCTATGATGGCGGTTGATGAAACATAATTACAGCGGTTCCATTCCACGACATAGTAATTTGTAGAATTTCTAATTTAGGTTTCTGTCTAACTCCTAAGATATTTTACACATATTCAGGTTTTTTTTAATAATCGTTTGTAAATATCATAATAATCATATTATTTTCAAATCAATTTGGACACAGTTATTGTATTACAAAATTTGTTTTGAAAAAGACTTAAATATTAAATTAATATTGTTATCATCCGGTGTGACTTTTTCACCCCTGTGTGCGAAGCACAGAATTGGGAGGCTTTGCAGGTACCCTGTCTGTGTGTATGTATGTTTGACAGATATCTGATGCACTTGGATAAGGAAAAGACCTGACTAGTTTTAGGTTAAAATCCGTGCAAATTGATTACCTTATTTGCCTGTCGATTTGATTTTCGTCCAAAGATCTCAAGAACTAATCATCAGATTGCACTGAAAACTTAATACCTAGGTGCCCGGGGACACACATCTGATTAGTCTGGGGGTTGAAATCCATGCATACTCATTATCTAATTTGCATAACAAATAATCAATTTCCCACCTACGTCTCAAAAAACAATTATTGCATTTCAATAAAGTTGCCAAGCTTATTGTTTGAATTGCTAATTTTAAATTTTTCATTAATTTTAAACATTCCCTATTTTTACTTAATGGGCTTCAATACTCTATACATATTGTATTCTGTCTCTTTTTTAATTAAGCACTTCAAATTCCTGATATTTTGCTGTATAAAATACATCACAAAAAGCAAATAACAATTTGGCTACCAAAACTTGTTTCATGGAAATAATCACTTTTCGCTTTTCCTATACTTGGATTATACTATTTCACTGAAATCACAGATTGAAGGAAGTGCTAATTATGTGACCCAGTTCACAAAAACACTGTCATCACTAAGTCTAAGTGATACGTGACAGCAAATATGGCCTCCAAAGAACTGAGAGATATACCTGCGAAAAAGATTATCGATTAACTTTGTTGGCCACAGTTGAACAATTTAAGATTTGATTCAGATCCAATATAATGTTGCCAAGAGGTTGATAGATTAAAAGAGCATGGAGGTGGTGGAATATTACCCACAAGGACAGAAAAGAAAAACAGCTTCTATATGACATCTTCGACTGCCTGCCACAAGTGACAACATTTGTAGAGATGATTTGTCTACAAATGGAAGTTTACAGGTTATAAGAACTGACACCATAACTGACAGTAACCGCTCAGTTGACAGCAAAGCCGGTCTGTAAAGTCCATGGTAAAAGGTGAAGAAGAACACCACGAATCAATTCTCTAAGTGTCCAATTTCAAAGTTCAAGACATCTGAGAATGCATGCATGCCTGCCTGGAATTGTCACATTCTGCCAATAGCTGAATTTATGCTTTTTCATGGACGAAGTCTCATTGTTATTACACAGTATATAGTATCCACGCTGGGTACACACAAATTGAGCATAATATGTCTGTAAAGTGATTTCTATCACATCCACAACTATAATACATTTATGGTGTTACAGTCATCGAATCTGATTGTAATTTGCTTTAAAGCGGCGGAGTCGTCACCTGCGCATGCGTCAAATGGCCATTTAGTTTAGTAAAATTTTCGCGCATCTCAATATTTTGCAGGGTAACAAGGCAGGTTTCAAAGGCAAAATTGTTTTTTTAATTCTCTGTATGTTCTTATTTTTTTTTGATCGATTGTCGTTATGTAATTCACTTTTCTAAGTTGTCCTAATTGCTTCGCTGTTAGAATTTCATTGCTGTTGACCAGGTTAGACTGGTTACCGGTAATGTTATTCAAAAGGGAATCTATATTAGTGTTCCATTTACTATTACTAGTAATTTCTTTATTTTCTTGGCAAACTAGTTTTAATAATGGATTTGACGAGTTCTTTACACGCTTATAATATTTTATCGTTTGTTTTTCGATAAAAGTCTCCAATGGGTAACATCCAAGTTCACCGTATAAGCCCATTGTTGTGGTATTTTTGGATGTCTCCAAGAGAAAACGAAGATAATTTATATGTCCATCTTCAATTGGTGATTTGAGTGTAATTTCATCTCTCCAAACATCACTACCATATGTGAGAATTGGTCCGATTAGTTTATCAAACAGAGAGAGTGACAGTGGTATACTTAGGTTTTTACCAGTTTTTCCCTTTAAAGATAATAAGGCATTTAAAGCTTTTCTTTTTGTGCTTTTTTGGCCTTCCTTGAATTCGCCATTATCACTTACTATTAATCCTAGGTAATTAGTTTATTTTACAGTATTTCAGCCTTCAAAGAAGAAAATGTCATTCTCTAGAAGTCTGTTTGATCTGTTAAAGATCATAATTTTTGTTTTTTCCGTGTTAACAGTTAGATGCCATTTTTAGTGTATAATGATATATTATCAAGGCAAGTTTGTAATCCTGATTTTGTTTCAGAAAGTATTACAAGATCGCCAGCATACATTATACAGTTAATAGATGTATTTTGCAGTTTGGGCGGATCACATCTAGGTTTATTAAAAACATCAGGTAGATCGTTAGGTAGCGAAGTCAGTGGTGGAAATGGCGTAGAGGGCGTGGGGCGCGCGTGTTGTCTACGAACAATCCTCGGGGGGCGGACATTCGGGCATTTTCACCGCCTGGCAACCCGCGGCGGTGAAAACAAAGGCCCAAAACTCGCAGAAAACAGTACTTTGGGATGATTGTTGAGACTCCCCTGAACAGTGTAACAAGATTAGCCCTACGTGTGTAACATATATAAATTTGGTTGTTCGGGATTACTTCAAAGTTGAGTTTGTGTTGTTTTCTCGAATTTTCACCGGCTCGACCGGCGTTCCACAGCAGCGCGCACAAAGCCCATAGAAATGCATGTACAGTGGTGAGCGTCGTAGCAACGTGGAACGTCTTGTGACGTAGCTCCGCCCCCGAGGATACTATTATTAGCATCACACGCGGCACGCTTGTGACGACACAGTACGCATGTGGTGGCGTTCAAAATTTAGCAAACAAAGACCAGTCTACGCCAGGAGTTTACAGTTATTAGAGTTTAAAGTAATATACTCATAGTGTTTTTTTTTCTGACGACGATGGCGACGACGACGCAAGAGAAGATTGGTTGTTTTCCGTTTAACTTGTTCGGTAAAATGAAAAAATGGTGGCGGGCAAGGAAAACTAGAAAAATTTGCCCATTCAGCGAAGTGGATGTAAATGAGGAAAACAAAGTGGTCGAAGGTAAGACGTTAAAATTGTTAGAGAATGGTAACCATCATACTTATTGAAATACATACTGGTATCTATGACAACGCCATTTGGAGCATTCTCATTGTATTGTATTTTGTTGTTGACAGGTACTGATATTCTGGTTGAAAGAACCAAAGGAGGGCTCTCGTTCGACTTGGTCGATA